GTTACAAGACAGACATGTCAAGTTCATACTTTTTGGAAGAGTCCTCATATGATCCATAAACTTAAATATTAGAAAATGTTTTGTAACATACATACATACACATATATGTAAATTATTTCCCCCTTCTCCCAACTCCTTGAGGGCTTGGTTTGTTTCCTTCTGTCTTTGTTTCCCCAGCACCCAGCACCAGGCCTCACAGATAGTATAGGTACTTAATAAATTTGTTGGTGGTATCACTGTATAGTTAAAAGAATGTTAGTATCTGGAGTGGCCCAATCATTCTAGAAAACAATTTAAACTTATGCTAAAAAGTGATTATAATGTTCAAACCCTTTCACCCAGAGATCTCACCACTAGGTATATACTCCAGGGAAGCTGATCATAAAAAGAAAGGTCCCATGTGGACTAGAATATTTGTAGGCTCACTTTTTGTAGTAGCAAAGAAGAGGAAACAAAACAAATCTTCATCCATTGGGAATGAGTAGGCAAATTGTGACAGAGGAATGGAATAGAATATTACTGTGCTGTAAAAAAAAGATAAATATGAAAAACACAGAGAAGTATGAGAAGACACATGAACTAAGGCAAATAAGCAGAACCAAGAAAACAAAATAAACAATGACTAAACAATGTAAATGGATAGAACAATAATGACAGAATAGAAACTGAATGCTGTGAAATTATAATGACAGGGGCAGTTAGGTGGCCCAGTGAATACAGCACCCGCCCTGACATCAGAAGGACCTGAGTTCAAATCCCCTCTCAGATCAAACACTCGACACTTACTAGTTGTGTGACCCAGGGCAAGTCACTTAACCCCAATTGCCCCCCCCAAAAAAAAAAGAAAGAAAAAAGAAACTATAATGACCAAGTTAGGCCCCATAGAAAATATGGAAAAGGCTTTGGATGTGGAATGCTGTATTTAAGATCTGATTTGTTTAATATGTTGGTTAGTTTTGCTGCTCTTTTTTTTATCTCTTTTTTATTTGGTTGGTTGGTTGCATAAGGCATGACTCTCAGGGAGGGAAGGAAGGACATATTGGAAGATAAAGGTGATATAAGAATAAAATGTATTAAATTTTTTTTAAGAAAAAAGTTAGATGATCTAGGTTCAGATCTTGGCTCTGTCACTTCCTGCAGTATGGTTTGGGTAAGTCACTTCAATTCTGGGAGCTGCATTTTTCCCAGCTGAGGAAAGGTCCTCAGTTGATGAACCTGTCATCCTAAGAAGTGAGACCGAGATAACTCAAGGAGGCTAGTAGCTGTGCAGGAAGTCCACTCAGTACCGATTCCTTGGTGGGAGGGGACATCGGGGGCCAAATCAAAAGAAGAAGGAAGGAAAGAAAGAAAAGAGAGAAAGGAAGGAAGGAAAAGAAAGAGAGAAAGAAAGAAAAAGAAAGGGAGGGAGGAAAGAAAGGAAGGTGAAAGAGAAAGGGAAAGAAAGGGAGGGAGGAAAGGAAGGGAGGGAGGAAAAACCACTTGGAATTCCAGATGAGGTCTATAAAAATTCAAGACACTCAGGTCCCCTTGGATAAAAATGCATAACAGGATGACTTGAGGAAAGAAGAGCAGAATTTGCAGAACCACAGTCCGCCTCAGGCAAAACAGCAGCAGCGGCAAAGTTGTCTTTGAAGCCCTCTCATCCACACCCTCCTTTGGAAGTCCCTTAACTCTAGGCGCCTACTTCAGGTCCCATTCCCGAAAAACTAGCTGTCAACTAATCTCCGCTGAGATGTTATCTAGTAACGGTTTAAGGCATAATCCCTCCCGGGATATTGGCCTTATAATAAACATCCTTAAAAGGCTGCGCCGGGTAATGGTAAGAATATTGGACCAAAAGAAAGAGTGCCAGAATTTTACTTCAAACTTTGCAACATATTAGCTGTGTGGTTGTGAGCAAGTCTCTGAGCCCAGGTTTCCTCGTCTATGTAACGGGGATAGGAATATTTCCACTACCTGCTTCACAGAGTCGTTGTGGAGATCGCAGCATACAAAGTGATTTATGTTTTGTAAACCAAAAGGCGCTCTATGTGCCAGTCATCATTAAACATAATGGATTATTATTATCGACATTATATTAAAGAAAAGAGAACGTTCAGCATGCCAGTGGTGGCCAGAGGAGAAGGAAGATGTGCTAAAGCCACGGTAAAAAAAGAAAAGAAGGGGAAAAAAGCAATCTAAGAATACAAACAAATATTTATTAAGCATCTTCTGTGTACAAAGCAGGAGAAGCTAGCCTGTGGCAACATATTTCGTCCTGGACTTGGACTCAGATACCTGGGGTAAAATCCTACCTCAGAAATTTACTGGCTGTGAGACCACGAACAAGTCACTCAACTTCTCTGAAAACACACAAGTTGGTTGAGATCTGCTCAGATGTCTTTGATGTGTGTGTAAGCCAAAGTGCTAAGCTCTGGAAGTACAAAGCCAACCAGACAGTCTCTGCCCTTAAGGAGTTTACCATTCTAGAGAGAAGGTGGAGGCAGGGGTGAGGAATACAACATGAACACGGAGGAGTATAACACCGAGTCAGGCGTGAAGGCGGCAAAGCAGACAGATCAGACAAAGAGCTCTTGCAATGTTTGAGTAGGGAAAGAGAGCAAGCTAGCTTGGGAAGGCTTCAAGGACGAATCTTCTGAACGCTTATCCCTCCTCCCCCACAAAGTGAAAGCCTGCTGCTCTTCAGCTCCCTAAAAACTGCATGTACACACCCTCCCAATCTTGCTCTCCATTCATTCTTTCCCCACCCTAACGCCTTTGGATCGATCCCGAATTTGACTCAGGAAAAAAAAAAGATCCGTAATTCTGAGCTCTCCAAGCTTCAATGGTTGAGCGCTGAACTTTCAATCTGCAGTACTTTCTCTCCATATCTGAAGAATAAATTGAGGGAAGGAGTATTGCCCAATTCTACACTGGGAAAGAAAATTATTTCTCAGCTCCGACAGACTTTCCTTCTGGCTTTCTAGAAAATGGAAATAATTATCTAGATGCAGTTTTTCAAGTTTAGAACTAACTTTTGCCTCAATTTTCCAGGTATTAGGGAAGTGGGTTTGGGCTTAAATTACTCAGACAATTGCTTCAATACTTGGCTTGTCAGTGTGACTCTTGCTTCCGTCCTCAGCTAGCTCATTGCTCCATGTTCTTTGTCTCCGATCTTCTCTCTAGCACACACACACCTTGGACCTGTAGTTGTTTTCCTATCAGAGTGAGGCCTCTTGACATTCACTAGAAATCCCATAAAAAGCATTTCAGTGGAGAACATAGTGCAGGAACTCAGGGTTCTTCCTTGGCTACAATGGTGGCTAAGAAGCAGATCCGGGTTGTATTTGAAGGCGGGATTCCGTTCTCTCTCATTGTTGCCCTGACGGCGAGCCATTGTATAGCGTTAATGCCGAATGTTCACATTTTAATTGTACATTTGCTTTTTTTCCCCTGGGGAAGAAGACCAGAGGTAATATTTTTTCAGAGTATCAACTTGTTTTCCAGGACGTTGTTGTTACAACAAGTTCATTCGACGACACAGTTATGCACTTGGGTTGGGGATCTTCAGACTGTGAGCGCTAGCACAATTTTGTGGCTTTTAATTACTATTTTGTTGAGCTGGGGGGTTTGAGAGACTGGCGCCTAGGGATGATTACACTGTCTACCTTTACCTGGGACTCACTGAAGCATGGTTCTACTTCCACTAGGTGGCGCTATGAGGCAAGACCAACAACAAGCTGAAACGCCTACCCCCACCACCACCTCCCCGACTACCGAAGTCAACGAAGTTTATTTTTTCCTCCCGGTTTAGTCAGGGCTTCGTTGTTGACTTGGAGGGATTTGGGGTTTCTTTTTTGTTTTGTTTTGTTTTGTTTTGCTTTTTAAAGGAAGTCGCTACTGTAGTTGGGGGGGGGGAGAATAGAGGGGGAGACAATGGAAATGCAGATGCAAACATGTCCTAAAGTTCTAAAAGTAAAGTAAGCAAAGAACTGTTGTATCACACAAGGTAAACCTTTTCAGTGAATTCGTGTTGAAAATTTAGCAAGACTTCAGCAATTTCAGGAAGAAATATGATTCCTTAACTTAAATGTAAATTAATTCACCTTTTAATAGAAGTCGTATTCGGAAGGGAACGTACAGGTCATCTAATTCTAATCCAACTTCCCACACAAGTGGGGAAAAAAATCCCACTATCACTATTTGGTGTGGTTAATTACCCATCAAATACTTATAATAAGGCTACATATACATTCTATTACCTAAAGCCTAGGTGTGTCAGGTAAGAACAAGGAAAAGTGGTTTTCGAAGGTATGATTAACAAGAATACCTTTGTATTTATATAGCTTTTCTTTCAAGCAACAACAACCCCAAAAAACCACCTTAAATACACTAATTAAACCTCCAGATATCGCCATAATGGTTGGTACAGGTGGCAGGTGTTATTATACAGGATTTATAGATAATTCAGAATAACTGAATGTGCTGACGGGTCTAAGTGCCAGAGGTTTCGAGGAAAAGAGCAAAGAACCAGAGTTTACCCAGCTCTCAACACCTTCTTTATTGTGATTAATGTGTTTGAAAATAGAGATAAGATCTGACCTAGGATTTACTTCAAGTAACTTATAATACAAAATGGAGGGAAGTGGAAACTTTTTTTCTTCATTTGGGGCAGTAAGCCACAATCGTCTACCCCTCCTCCTGGCTACCTCTCCCTCCACCCTATTCCCTGTATGTCCCCCGCCCCCACCCCCTCCATCCCCTCTTCTTTCATTGCTGCTCTGAGAGCCTCGGCCTTAGAACAGCAGCCGCTGCCGCAGCCACAGCACACGCCATGTGACACCCACCTCCTGTCTGGGCGTTCTAAGGAACCCAGAGACTTCTGTGGGGCCGGGACGGCGATTGGCTGTTGCTAGGTGACGTCGCCTGCCCTCACGTGACAAGTGTTAAATGCCCGCCCGGCAGGAGCCAGCTCCTCAGACAATCGTAAAGCTGCTCCTGACCGCTCACCTGCTCCTGCCTCCCGGAGTCTACCACCGCTGCCCCCGCCGCCCCTCCCTCTCCAGTTCTCCTCCCCCGCCCCTGCCCAGTGCTGGCAGAGGAGGACAGCATGGTGGTCTTGAGGATGAGTTGGGCAGCAGCCACAGAGGCAGTGGTCCCGAGTGGTTCCCACTGATCGCCTCCCCCGCCCAGAAGAGAGGAGGAGGAGGAGGAGGAGGGGTTCCTACATAATTGCCACATTTCTTGTTTTCCTTCTCCCCACCCCCTTCCCCGTAATTACTTTGGTTGCCCGAGGGGAGAGGGAGAGAGAGACTGAGGAGCCTCCCGCCTAGTCCTCCCTGGTGCCCCACCGCCTTCTCCTTCCCGTCCCAGGGCAGGATGACTGGAGTCTTTGACAGTCTGGTGGCTGATATGCACTCGAACCAGATTACTGCCTCCAGCAGTTACCACCAACACCACCACCAGCACAGCGGCAGCGGCGGCAGCAGCACGAGCCTGCACAAGCCCCAGGAGTCCCCCACGCTGCCCGTGTCCACCGCCACGGACAGCAGCTACTACACCAACCAGCAGCACGGGGCAGGGGGCAGCGGCGGCGGCGGCGGCGGCGGCGGCGGCGGAGGGTCCCCGTACGCGCAGATGGGCTCGTACCAGTACCACGCCAGCGGCCTCAACACCGTCCCCTACTCTGCCAAAGCGAGCTACGACCTGGGCTACACTGCCGCGTACAGCTCCTACGGGCCCTACGGAACCAGCTCCTCCCCAGCCAACAACGAGCCCGGTATGGGTAATTCTCGCACAACTAATTGGTGCTAAGTCTTTCTTACTTCTTCTTGGGGGGAGAAAAAACGTTTGTGGGAAAAGGGTTCCCAGCCTCAGCCCTGGTCCTGTAGATTTTGCAGGTTACCATCCCCCCATCTCTGTTCCGCCTACCCCACCCACCCCGTCCCACTTTTCCCCTTCCTCAGTTCCAAAGCTGGTTTCAGAGAGCAGTTCCTTGGCCGAACAGGATTTTTAAGAAGTTGGGATAAGAGCGAGAAATTTTCAAGAAAGGGAGTTACGCATGCAATGTAGTTGTTGACTTTTTCTCTTTACCCTCGTTTCTTTTCCCGTAATACGCTTCTTTTGCTTCTTTTCCGTCTCCCCGCCCCCGGCATCAAAAAAAAAGTGGGGAACTCCAGAGGGGACCTGATTCACTCCCCAAAGTAAATTCCTGGAAAGAAAGATGGATGAAGTTTCTCGGCCCGGGGATTCTCTAACCACCTCGCTGCAAGAGACAGTGTGTGTGTGATGGGGCACCAGCGGGCGTCCCACTTCTTGTTTGGCGGGTTCTTTCATTGTTCTCTCTCTTATTGTCCCCCTTTCGTTGCAGAAAAGGAAGAATGTGAGCCCGAAATCAGAATAGTGAACGGGAAGCCAAAGAAAGTGAGGAAACCTCGCACCATTTATTCCAGTTTCCAGTTAGCAGCTCTTCAGAGGCGATTCCAAAAGACTCAGTACTTGGCGCTACCCGAAAGAGCTGAACTGGCCGCCTCCCTAGGCCTCACACAGACTCAGGTAAGGGGCTCCCCACTTTTTCTGCCCTTTGAGCATGGGTTTGCTTGTGCTGGAGGTTTTCCAACCTTGCAATTGGCCCAGGGGCAGGAGTTCTAACTGTAATGAACATCCATCCATCTAGGTAGATATTATATACACATACTCTAAGAAGGCCTGCTGACTCACAATTCAGTATATGAAATTAAAAGTGACAAACCTTTAGTGGTTGGAATAATGGCATTGACCAGTGGGAGAGAGAAGGGATGGATTTATAACTGCCATCTCAGGGATAATGTCCTCCTGATAAAAAGAGTTATAATAATTGGTTGGCATTTAGTGTCTAACTGTTCATTAGTCCCCTGCTCCTATATACCATATATTCTTATCCATCCATCCTTGATTTTAGTAAATATTCACTCTGTCTAAAAATTATCCCAATTGACCAAAAATAAACTGAATTTCATTCTCTGAACTGATTGAGGTCCTCAGTCTCCCCCCACCCCCACCCCAGACCTTCCAGCCTGGCTGGAGATCTACTGTTTCAGTCTCTCAGTCTGTTTCTTCTCTTTTATTTGTTTATTTTCTTGCTCCTACTCTGCTGTACATAACAGTTTTCCTTTTCCACAAAGGTCAAGATCTGGTTCCAGAATCGCCGTTCTAAGTTCAAGAAGATGTGGAAAAGCGGAGAGATTCCTTCAGACCAGCACCCCGGCAGCAGTGCCTCTCCCCCCTGCGCATCACCTCCAGTCTCAGCACCTACAACCTGGGACTTCGCCCCTCACCAGCGGATGAGCAGTGCAGGAGGCAGCGGAGGTAGCGGGAGCGGAGGTGGAGGAGGTAGCTCAGGCTCCAGTCCCAGCAGCGGTACTTCAGCTTTCCTAGGCAACTATCCGTGGTACCACCAGGCTTCCAGCTCGGCTTCCCACCTCCAGGCCAGTGCACCGCTATTGCAGCATCCTCAGCCCCCACAGCCCCATCACCACCACCATCCCCACCATCATCATCACCACAACAGCAGCAGCTCAGCAGTGAGCGCAGGGACGATATTCTAACTTCGGAAGAGACTGGGGGAGAGAGAGAGAGAGAGAGAGAGAGAGAGAGAGAGAGAGAGAGAGAGAGAGAGACAGACAGACAGAGAGACAGAGACAGAGAGACAGACTCCCCACAGTGGCTGCTGCCTACCCAGAGCAAGGGGTACTTCTCCCTTATTCCCCTGCCATCTCAGACCCCAGTCCACAATACCAGCGCCTTTCTCTCCCTAAGCAAAGAGGGGCGGCGCATCCCAAAGCCCCTGCTCCTCCTAGGAACAGACTCTGGTGCTTTGATAACCCTTTCCCGTCCAACAATCCGATGCATTTGTAAAGTTATGAGGCTTTTTGAGCCCTGTGGGTTTTTCTGTGTGATACGTGGGAAAAGGACTTTGCTTAGTCGGGGTACCCAAGGGGTTAGGGGCTTCGGCCACATTTCAGGTCAGGTTCTTTCTCCTCAAGCTTTCTTTCAAGCCCTGACTTACCAATAACTCTCCACTCTCCCCCACCCCCACCTCTTCCCTGGTCCTGAGAGGTCAGGGAACTTCTCCCTGAGGCTAAGAACAAAGTCCTGAAGAGTGACACTTTCCTCCTTTCTTCCCAACTTTGCCGTTCCTCCCTCTCCCCAAGGGTTCACGCTGAATTGCGTTGCTCTTTTCCAGGGTCAGTCGCTAAGCCTCCTGTTCTGCCTAGAACCCTTTCTCCTTCCTCCTCCTCCTCACCTCCACTCCCCACATACACACACTCGTGCGAGCAAAAAAGAATCCTCGGTTATAAACCTCACTGTGGGCCCAATTCCATTCTTTTCCTTCCTCAACTTTCCCCCTTTGCTCACGCTGTCCTTGCCGACTTTTTTTTTCTTTTTTGCTGTGGTGTGTGTTCCTGGCCCTCATCCCCTTAGCTCTCTAGGGAAAAGCATAAGAGATCTCCACTCCTCCTCCTACTCATCCATCACCAGTGGAGTTTTTTTATTTTTATTTTTTTAAAAGTTTAGGTGCCTTTGCGGATGACCTCATTTTGATGTTAAAAAATGATTTTTTTATATGTGAACATTGCAAAAACAAAGTGTTTAAATTATCTTTTTTAAACTCAATTCAGGATTATTATCCTGGAAAAACACACACACAAAGTTTGTAAATAAAGGTGTTCGTGCGGATTTCCCTCCCCCTCCCTTGATTTATTTGTAAAAAAAAAATATTCAACTTTCAGACTTTTTGGTGAATCACCTGTAAGAATTTCGGGTTAGCAGTAGTCTCATTTTCCCTCCTGTCCCATTTTTAAAAAAATTTTCGCCTCGACAAGTTTCCTTCTCTCAGTTAAATTAAGCTACTGATTTCGATTTTATTTTATTTTAAACCCAAGATCTTTGTTCTTTAAAGGAAAGGTATTTTTGAGTTATTTATTATGAAAACAACATACTCTTAATGTCGATTTTACAGTATGAAGAGATTATTTAAATAAATTATTGTTTTCATTGTACTTGCACCGTATTTCCTTGGATATCGCGATTGAGACCTGAGTTGCAGGCCGGTGGTCCTTTATACACCAGAAGCCAAGGTCAAAATGAACATACTTGGGCCCCAAGCACTTGCAGCCACTCTTGCTGCGCTCAAAGTCCTTTCTGCTATTGTCCCCATCTAAGGGGCTATTTTACCTGCAACTGCAGGTTGCGAGTTGTAGGTATTAGCAGTTGAGCAAGGGGAAAGAGATCAGAATTTGGGGAAAACTCAAAGACGGCCTTTCGTTTCTTGGTGGAACCACGGCAACCATAAGTTCATGATCTCCCACTGTGGCAGAACAACTCACTCAGTTTGCCTGGAGGATGGGGGCGACCGCTGCCTCGGCCCTATGAATCACTCAGCTCACGCTCGGGTTACCAGACTCGGCCCCGCCCCTCCCTCCCTCCCCTTCCGCGAGCTGGCGCCACTGACTTTTAGCCCCGGACTGTCTCCCGCCGCCCACGTCACCCCACCCCTGCATAGCTGGTGTTGCTGCTGTTGTTGCTGGTGCTGTTGGTGTTGCTGCTGTTTGTGAGGCCTCCGCAGCAGCAAGCCTCTGAGGTTGAAGGGAACTGACCGGTTCCAGTTCCAGTTCTGTTCTCTACCTATCCTCGAATCAGACCAATTCAGCTCGCACCTGCCCTAGCCCGGGCTCTTGGGTTCCTCACTTGCCTTGAGGGTTGAGAAAGCTTGTGCTTTGTTTGGCCTGGACCCCTGTGTAGAGTCACATTCACACGCGTACACACTCAGCTGCATTGGAATGCCGTTAAACTCGAGCACAAGAATTGAACACGCACACATACATAAAAAAGTGATTGGAGTAGTACGCTTGCAACTCCCTCTTTGCAGGGAAGGTTGTGAGTTCTTCGCTCACTCTCCTAGAAAGTACATACAGGTACATGCATTTGCCTTTACTTTTGGCACCTGTGCACCCAACAGAAACCGCTGTGAATAAAAGGGAACTTTATTGCTTCGATGTCCTTGGTGGGTTGGATTCTGGGGCTATACATCACTTCCTCTTGCCCCTCGAAGTGTCATTGGTCCAGTAATCTAAGGGGTTCTGACCTCTCTGAAGAACCGATTCTCAAGGCCTAGTACTCCTAACCCTAACTCCATAGAATAGAATCCTCATTTTTATTAGGAAATGGGGAAAATGCAACTTTGACATATTGTCCTAGACAACTGTGGACCTGAGGGATCCCAAATCTTTCTTGTGCAGAAAAATCATAGCTTGAAAAGCCAAAGGGGCCTTTAGAATACATTTAAATCAAACCATGTCTTTTCACATAGGAGGAAAAGTAAATTGGAAGTGAAGGGCTAAAACATGACTTGCTTGAGAGCACTTCAGGCAGTAACAGCAAAGGCACTGAATTGTCTCTCCATACCTTGGTTTGTTTTTTGTTGTTTTTTTTTTCCCCAGTTGAGGCAGCCTCCAAGATGTCACTCACCATTCATACAGAGGGAACAATATTACAAGCAAAGGGTTAATCCACTGCTAAGGGGGGGAAAAAAATCTGTTCCCCTGACCAGAGGACCATGTCAAAGAGCAGCATTATCTTCAATGTTTTCCTTATTCCACTTCTTGTGCTTGCTCTACTCGGATCTGTTAAAATGAGAATTTTGGAAAAGATCCAATAGCTTTGGCAGGTAGTTGTGAGCAGAAAGGAATGGGAAACACAGCCTGGGTTGTAAGATCTAGAACTTTTTTTTTTTTGGCCATTAAATCTTTAAATACCCTCACTACTTTATTGTCTGAGGTTGTTGTTATTTTATTGTTCATTGAAGTTTGGGGACAGCCTTGGCAAGTGGGGCCTAACAGCAACACGAGATTAAGGGGTTCATGGCCCTCAAATATCTCCCCTTCAAAATTTCAATCTGGCTTTCTCAGGCGAGAACTCAGCAACACGAGATTAAGGGGTTCATGGCCCTCAAATATCTCCCCTTCAAAATTTCAATCTGGCTTTCTCAGGCGAGAACTTGAGTACCTTGATTCTTCCGGCGCTCAGTTCCCCACCCTTCCGGGCTCCAGAATTCCATGGCCCTAGCATCCTAGAGCGCCAGGCTCTTGCTACACTTTTCCTCCAGTGGTTGAATGCCCTTTTCTCCCTCCCCCATCCCTACCCCCATTTCACCCCCCTGATCATGAAACCAGAAGCAGAGAGACAGGGTAGTAAATTGGCTGGTGTTGAGGATCTGCAGCAGACAAGATGATTAAGAGGCCTAAGCCGGAGCGCCCGGGGCAGGGAATGTCAGCCCAAGTTGGAATCACGTAGCAGGCCTTGGCATGAGCAGAGCCTAGGAGCCGGGAGGGCGGGCAGGCGGCCCCAGCTCCAGGGTGGGCTCTGGCCCCACAGACAAGCCGGAGTCACCGAACCTGGCAACCTAGGTCGGGTCGGGCTACAGCTCAGCCTCTTGCCGCCCCCGCCCATTCCCTGGGAGAGACTAGCAAAGGTCTGGAGAGGGAGACCAGAAGGAGGAGGGGCACCTTTGAAGGGTGGAGGCGGGGGGGGGGGGGAAGGAAAGAGGGGCCGGAACAGAAACTAGAGTGTAAGGAACGCGGGGTGGGCTTCAGTGGACTGGGAGTTACCCCTGAAAGTAAACCTTTAAGGTAAAGAGATAGAAGCAGAGAGGGAGGTGAGGAAGGGAGGTGAGAGAGGGAAAAGGACTGGGATTAGAAGTAAGGGCTCTTGGGGGGGGGGGGGAGAGAGACGGGAGGAGCGCTGGGGGGAGTGAGAGAGCTGTTGGAGTTGGAAGAATGTCGGGATGGAGAGAAGAGAAACAAAGACAGGAGTGGGAGGGGAGAGAGCGGGAGGCTCCACCACAGCCCAAGGCAAGTCACTTGGAAGCATTTCTCACAAGTTGCAGCTCTCTCCAAGACACAGAGCCCTGTGATCAGCCCGCCGCGCAGACATCCCCTCCCCCCTGGTGATGAACGGCTCTCCCAAATGTGCCGATGAAAAATGGAAATAGGAAGCAGTGAACTCGGCTCCATCCACTGGGAAACCAGCCGCGTTCATAAAACACATAAATCTTCATTGTAATCCCCTTCAATTTGCGCACGTGAAATATCAGGCCAGAGACAGGATGTGACAAGCGCTGGGAAGCAAAGGGGTGGGGGGAACAGGAGGGTCGGAGTAAGGAAAGGGGGGGGGCGGTAAAGACAAGATTCTGGATTGCTCTATTCACAATCTGAGCATTATTCCCATGCGGGAGGCTTCTTCAAACTTGGGCAAAACGTTAATACTAATGTTTTGCTGCTTGATGTTTCGGCCTCCCCATGGCAGATAAAAGGATCCACCCTCGCCCCCGCCCCCAACCTCCACCCCACGCTATCCACCCTTGGGTACGGTTTGCAAACTCTTTGGAGAGAGCCAAACGTTTGAAATGCCAATAAATGCCTAGAAATTGCCCGTCGGCTCCTTGACCCTCCGCATTCCCCACTGGTTTGCACAAGGGGGCAGAATTGCGGGCTGGGGGTGGGGGGTGGAGAGAAGAAAACCCCTGACTAATCAGCCGAGATTGAAATGTGGGACCATTTAGAAGGCTTCCCTTCTGCCTTTCTTTTAGGATTACTTGTGAAAATTGGGAATATCCGCCTGTGTGTAACGATTTCCGAGACTTCTGGGGTAAATTTGGAGAGGGATGGACTATGGGTTTAATAAGGCGATGTAGAAACCAGTGAATGTTTTGAGCTGAGGAGACCTGAGGGTGAATGACCCACAGATCTAGGTAGAAGCTCTTTCCCAGTCGTGTCCCAGCCGCCTCAGTGAGCCCAAGGACTGCTGGAGAGGCCCGTGCGTCCCTCGTAGGGCAGAGGTAGTTCACAGAATGTCCTTCCGGCTCCGAGGGGCCAAAAAGCTGAAGAGATTTGGACGTGGAAATAAAGGTCAGAAAACAGTAAATTCCCCTGCATTTGAGAACTCGTCCTCCGGTGCTGAGAGTAGCTATCCCACTTCCCCAAAGTTACTAAAGCACGAGTATATACACACATACATACATACACACATACATATATAATATACAGATATGTATATGTGCGTGTGTGTGTGTGTGTGTGTGTGTGTATAAAAATTCCTCTCCCTTCTCCATACCGCCTCCCCAGCTAAGGCCAAACCTAGGAACACAGTGCGCCTATGGCACATAGGGACAGTTCAAGAAACTTGACAGTGGATGGAGTGATAAGAGGCGAGGTGGGGGAAAGGGAGTATGGGGAAGAAAGACCTCCGCCACACCTAGGCTTGGGGCAGGAGCCTGAGAGAATCCAGTGTCTTAAGAAGTGGTAGTACCACCTCCCCTCCACCCTCCGGAAGAGCCCAGGCAGCATTGCCACATTACAAGATGTAAAATTCCGCCCTGAGGGTGGGGGAAGGGAGAAGGTGGGATGGAGAAAGAGGAGAAAGGCGAAGGAATGGGAGGGAAAGAGGGACAAGATAAAGGAGGGAGAGAGAGAGAGAGAGAGAGAGAGAGAGAGAGAGAGAGAGAGAGAGAGAGAGAGAGAGAGAGAGAATGTTTTTTAGCAAATAGAACAGCCATTTCCCGGAAGCATCATCACTTGGAGTCTAAAAGTAAAAAAATTGGAAGATTAGCCTTCAAGACAGAAAGACCCTTTTCCTCCACCAGGAAAAAATGTAAATACTCTACTGTACTATACTTATTAGCATAATTCTCCCCGGGGAATTTTCCAGAGCCTCTGCACTTTTTGAGAAAGGGAGTTGTACGCACACTTGCAGTATGCGTCGCCGTCCCTATTCCTGAAGAAAAGGAGGTTGGGAGAAGAGACAGCTCTAAGAGAGGGGGGAAAGAGAACAGAAGTAGGTTGAGGTGGTCTAAGACGAGGGATCTTAGAAAGTGGTTGGGTAGAGTAGAGAAGACTTTCTGACTGAGAGGAGCGATTTGAAGCTATTC